CTTTGGGAAGCACTTATTCCAGGGGAATGATATATCTTTTATAACTTAGGAGCTGAATATAAACTTTCTGAGATCATAAAGCTTTTGCTGAAGGAAACTTACACTGGTGTATATACCAGAAGGTCGTTGCAATTTTATAATATTCAGAAACTTACGAGGTCATGGAGCGGTGGCTCTTCTTGCATTTAGCAGTACAGGAAAAACTTCTTGCTTCTGATGAGAGGACTGGTGAGATGGAGATGTCGTGAGAGGCAGTGAAACTTAGAGTAGCAATCTAGTTTCCACCAAACTTCATAGAAAAAGCAATTTTCTGGGACAAAAGAGTATCTTTGCAGAAGAAAAGCAATTGCACGATGTTATCAAGTAAGTTTTATTTCCTCGGATTATAGCAGGCATGAGACCAGTCAAGCATTGTTAGTAAATAAGATCTAGAGCACTTAAAAGAAGGATCCAATCACAAATTCAATTGGTCCATTAACTGAATGTAATATTATTTGCCTAAGTGGCCCTTATGGACTATTTCATAACTCAGGTTTATAACCTTTTCCAAAAAGATCGATATTGCTGCACGCACAGCCACAGGGCGTGATGGAGGAGACTGGACATTTGAGCAGCAACATTCTGTACTGGTCTGTGATTGCCACAGCTGAAGGTCCTGCTTGGAAATACCAAATGAGGAGAATACTTTCCCAGAAATGCTAAAAAGAAGTAGCAGCCTTGGAGAGAAGGATGGAGAGAGAGAGAGAGAGAGAGAGAGAGAGAGAGAATGTGAGGTCACATGGAGATCAGCTCTTCTATTGGGCTTGAGCAAACAGGCTTTCTGGCACATAAACGTTTGCAGATCTGAGCAAGAAGCTGTGGTGACATTTAAAGCCACACACACAGGTTTGCCAACATGTATCAGAGTGAATCTCCAGTGGAAGGGAACAACCGGCCACTCTATTTGCACCTTGGCAGATGGGGTGTTTTGTTGTCTGCTCTAATGTGTGATGTGAGTTGGCTGCTCACACGGAGTCACATCAAGTGGAAAGGTAGCTCTTGTCTATTGATCTGCATTCACAATCTGCTATTTGATTTGCTCTCATCAGCTGGGAGCAGTGAGCTCCTACAGCTGAATTCAGAACCTCTGCACATCGCTGCTGCTTCCATGCACGGAGAGCTCAGCAATCAGATGCTTTTCGACTGCTTCGTCAGCATCAAGAAAAGTCAAATGAAAATAAAAGCAAATAAAAGCCAGGAAGGATGTCAAGGGGCCTGGTGGTTGCCTGGTTGTAAGCTGGCATTGGTTCCCACCATTTCAGTTTTATTCCTTCTGTTTTGTGAAGGTTATTCTCATTCCCATGAGATGCGGAGGCGTGTGGGTGTGCATTGCTTGTCAAGTAGGGTACAAGGAGGGCAGTTCCTAAAAAAAAGTCTGTAGTGAAAACTCATGAAAATTTCAGTGGGGAAAGGCAGTGCTGCTGAGAGACCTTTGCCTATCTGTCCTCATTAACTGCATCTCTCTAGCGGATGGCAGCCATTCAGTGCTGCTCCCTGGCCCTTTTTCCTCTCTGCCCTCTCCGCACGTGGCTCAGGCTGCCCTTTCTCATGCTGCTGCATGTGGATCTGAACTTGGTGCAGTTTTCATGTTGTTCTCTCCTACAAGAAACAGCAGGGGAAAAAAAAAGGTATTTTTCATTCTTTCTGCTGCCCTCTGATGAAGTAAAACAGTTCCCTTGTGATCTTTGTGTCCATCTTGAGAGTCTGGCCCAAATGCAGGTGGCAGGAGGACTCTCAAACCCAGCAGTTGCAGCTCTAATGCCATTTCTCTCTCCAGAGAGAGAAAATTGTCCCTTTTGATGCAGGGCATGGCTGTGTCTGACCTGAGTCTTGGACGATACTGAGAAATTTTTGCTGGGATAGAAAAGTTATTTAGTGTCATTAGATGAATGCAGTTGGAAACCTTCCTTCTGCGTGCAAGACAAGCTGTTTCTGCCAGGTATGGCTGCTTTTCAAGGGCTCATGTTCTCATTTCTTTGCCACACAGCACACAAGTTGCATGTGGCAGGCTGAAGTGGCTTGGAGACTTGGACTGATAATTTACAGGGAAGAGAGACTCAACTGCAGGGAGATAATAGTTTAAAATGAGTGATAAATCATCTTCCTCTTATCTTTGCTATGTGGTTTTCTCCATTTTCTGCACTTGTTTGTGCTGCAGATAGCCAGCCACTGGATTTTCTCTAATGCACCTGCAATCAAGTGTAAATAAACAAAAAACTTTCCTTGCCCCAAATATTAACTCAGGTAGTAGAAAATGCCTCTCTGGAAAGAAATGTCGTACGGAAAAATGTGTGTTTTCAGGCTTTCTGCACGGATTCCAAAATTTTAATGCGACTTATAATTTTTGCTACTTTCAAATACTGAAATGTTTTTCCTCTGTAGGTATCTGAGAATTGCCTGCCCCTTTTCTTATCTGGACTTCATCAAAGTTTTTTGTCACTTCTCATTTGTTAAGCAGGCAGTGGTACCAATCCGGAAAAAACAAGTGGTCCAGGATATACTTGTGTTGATTGTTTCTTTCACCAAGTGGTGCTGCTTCCAGGAGATCAGTGGTACTGGGAGGAGACTATGAGAGAGACAGTGATCCTTGACGTCACTGGGGTCATTTGTACCATGTTGGAGTGTGTGCACGTGCTTGGTTGATGCTTGGTTCTCTGGTTTCAGGAGAGAAAAGCATCAGGTTTGGAAAATCTGTCTGTAGTTGTGCTGGATCTCACCTGAGTGGTTGTTCAACAGCTCATTGTTTAGCTAAAGTTGTCCATGTAACCCAAGCAGAAGTATATTAGTTCTGACACTTGCATGCCATCATTTCCAAGCATCGTAGACAATCTGCGTGAGGCTGTACATGATTGCATGAGAAGAATTCAGGGCAAATCATCTTGTGAGTCTTTATCATCTAGCTTTATTGCAGCTTCTTATGTGTTGAAAAGTACTGAAGGAGTACTTTTCTTGGACTGAGGTTGTAGTGGGAAATGGAATCTCACTGAGGAGTTAAGATATCAGTTAAGATATCTGAAGCTTTTTTTTTTTGTTGTTGTTTCTACAAGACACTTGGAAAGGAAGGCAACCAATGCTGGCGTGATGTTTCATAAGGTGACATTTGTTATAACTCACTGCAAATGTTACTCACCATCTACAAAACATTCAATTAAGCTCAAGAGCAGTGAAAAATACCAGGCTCCACTTCAGCAGCTGTGCTTGTCAGAATATCTTGGGTTTTTTGGAGTCCACACAGGGCTACTGTGCCCTGACACCAGTCCCACCCGGTCCCTGCTTTTGTGAGCTGCATCTTCATAAGGGCACAAAACTTTCCTTCCCCATGGGGCTCATCCTTGCTTTCCCAAAGACAGTTTTAATTCTTACTTGACCAAACTGGGAGATGGCTTTTTGCACTGACAGTTATCCTAGCATGCTGATTTGCCTGATTAAATCACATTCTTTCAGAGCACAAATCCCACAGTTGATACATTAAACATAGACTCTCATAAGCTACTAGTTTAGAAATCAGGAAAATAAGCCAGTACATTTTCAGTGGTTTGTATGCAGATCTTAAGTGTGGCATCAAATTGAAGCATATGTGCATGGAACTGTAATTCCTGAAACGTAACAAACAAAAACTTTCCTCATGCTTGTGAGGAACCAGGACACTAGGAGAGCACATTTTTTTGGTATGCCAAACTTGTTACAAATCTGTGGCTCACCAGGAAATTCGCAGATGTAACTTTGCTGTGTGCTACAGCCGCCCACTGTTCTGCAGTGTCAGCTGGGCTGGAGCTCAGATCCACCTACTGCCTCTGCACCGGGCCCATAACTCTGGAGCTGAAGGCAAAATGCAAATAGGCTGTGCTGAACATGGTTGCCTTCTGGCAAGCAGGGGGATGGTGAAAGTAGAACCCTCAGCATTTCGTTCCTTGCTCAACTCCTGAACCACGAGATCGTGCTTCTCATTACCTCTTTCCCCTGGATAGAGAAATAAAATGAAATAAAAATCAGGCTAATTTTCTACAGAAACAGGGGAAAGGAAATGGAAAGGGTTATCCAATTAGTTGAATTAGTTAAGCTGCCTAAACCCCTGGTCCTGATTTGGTGTGGTTTGTTGATGCCAAACAGAGGTAGATTACTGTAGTTCCTCTTTTTTTACGTGTGTGTGAGAGAAAGAGTGAATGCCTTCCCATGTTCCCTGTGACTTCTAGGCTTTTTGAGCCATGGAGCAATCATTCCTTCAGCTTGCTGCACTCATTCCAGGGCAGGATTTACTACTTTTCACTCTTCTAGACTACAAACAACATCACTGCTCCTGGAATACAAGGTGGGGGGCTTTCTCCATCAACCTATCTAGATTGTATTTATAAATGCAGAGTGAGAAATTATGTTAAAAAACATGCATGGTTTAAAAATAGCTCGGTGACCTAGTCAAAAAGTAAACATTATGGAAAAATGAAAACTATTTTAAGAGATTGAAACAGAGAAGAAGCGAAAATAATCAAAAGAAATCTTGGTTGCTGTAAATAAGGGATGTAAGTCAGCAGCTCCTATCACTGGGGTTTCGATTTTGAGAACCTGGCTCAATGAAAACCAGGAGAGAAGAAAAGAACAGTAAGTGATGGAAAAAAACAAAGCTGAGAAACCTACCTAATTAAGGTGCCAGATAATCCATAAACAAGATTGCTCCTTTTCAGAATGAAAAGAAACCAATGAAATAATGTCCATACCTTATTTAAACTACTGGGTGTCTGTCATTCTCTTTTGAGCTGTAATGGAACCTTAATTTTTTCAGGTAGCCCTTTAATGTGGGGTTGGTCAGGGAGCCATTGCAGTCATTTTGTTGAAAATGAAACACCTTAAAAAGTGATCAAAAGCTTTTACTGCAAGAGACCTTTGTAAATTTGTCCCCCATAATGAAAAGACAAGGGTTGCTTGTCTGTTTTATCACTTATGTGTACTTTTATTTCCCCCGCAGGTTGCCTGGTCACTATGAACAATGGCCCAGCTATACTACAAAAAGGTAAACTACTCACCATACAGAGATCGGATCCCACTACAGATTGTGCGAGCAGAGGCAGAGCTCTCAGTGGAAGAGAAGGCCTACCTCAGTGCTGTGGAGAAGGGGGACTATGCCAGTGTGAAACATGCCTTACAAGAGGCGGAGATCTACTACAACATCAACATTAACTGTATGGATCCTCTTGGTCGCAGTGCTCTTTTAATAGCCATAGAGAATGAAAATCTGGAGATCATGGAGTTACTTCTGAGCCACTGCGTGTATGTGGGAGATGCTCTGCTGTATGCAATACGGAAAGAGGTGGTGGGAGCTGTGGAGCTGCTGCTGAATTACAGGAAGCCAAGTGGTGAAAAACAGGTTGGTCAAGTGTTTCAGTTCAGATTTAAGCTGTTACCTTAATAAAATCTGGTGTTAGGAAAGAGATTCTCCACAGAGAAGGTGCTGTTCAAGAGTCATAAAACAAACTCCTTAATGCGCATTCATTGCTTTAAATGCCCAGAGCGGATGTGGTACTTTGATAACTTTCTTGTCTGAGCAAACGTGCTCAGCCTGACTGAACTCGACATTTTCAATTTCACTCAGAGTTCTTCTTAGTCTTACAGTGTTTGTGGACATGCTGATTTCTAGGCTGATTTATAGACACATACTTTGTAAAGGAATTTGGGGCTGTCTGAAGTTATATTACAATCTATAAATATGAAGTACTGCCATGCTCTCGCGCTGGTATTAATAAGTGGAATTGCTTTTTGTAAGTAAATCCTGAAAACATATAAGCTTATAAATAATAGTAAGTAAGGAAGCAGTCTGCTAGCTTTCAGTACTTAGCTGTAGTACAGACATGTATCTTGGTCTCCATCTCTGGGGAGTCTAGTTCAGTAATGCAGAGGCAGTACATAACATTACAGCATGAGCTGAGGTACTATATATCTGAACAATGAACAGCTATGTCTTGTAGGAAAGATTGTTAGGTACAGAGCCACCACTAAGGCATATAGGAATCTTTGTGAAAAAACACAAAGTACAAATCTTACCATTTTAAGTGTCATGTACCGCATTGTCCCTAGCTTTTTTCATCTGTGCTTAACACTGCCAATAACTGTGATAGTTTATATGCATTACTGACCACTGTCACTTTTTACAAGCTCAGTGCTTAGAAAGGAACTTTCAGAACTGATGGTCCTGATTTCTCAAGTCCGGTTTTGAAATCTACTTGGATGCAGCCCTTTGTGTGTGAAGGAAGAAAAAAATTACTATCACTTAGCTGTAAACATTTCTTCAATGGGTGGGCCTTGGTACATAGTTTTTAAATAGCAGTTTTACATAGCCAAAGCAAAGAAGGAAACAAACACTGCAGGTTAACCCTGACAACACTGAAGAGTACTCAGCGTAGTATTTAGAAACAACAACTTTCAGTGTGCTATAGCAATGTGATGTAAGCCCTAAAGAGATGGAGAAGCTTTTCTACTATACCTAAACATTGGAACATTAGTCTTAGGCTTTAAAGTGTCAAAGTGTAAGTAGCAAGACATGAGCCACAGATGAAGAATGAACCTTTTTTTTTTAATTGATCTTTTGATCTTCTAGAAAGTTTGATCATCCAATACCCCAATGTAGCAGAAAGTAAAACAGAAGGATAGATCATGTTACTAAATGTTTTCCGAGGTAGCATGAACTGTGGTTAATTGTTGCACACTAATGACAAGTTTCTCTTAAAATATCATGAAAAGCAAGAGATGGGATTCTTGTGGCTTTCTGTAAGATTTCTTGAACACCAAAACTTCTGTCCAGTCAAATTCAAAGCCTTGGTGGCATAACTTGATGGGAACAGAGGCCTATGAAATAAGATGGCTTTATTGCATCTCATCTCCAGCATCTTTCTGTCAATGATGCATTTCATAGTAGGCCTATGTCTTTTTCTTTTCTATTTTTATCAGTGTGCAGCTTTCATTCTCTAGGTAGTTTTATATCTGCTGCAAAGTTTACAACTTGAAGGGGAATATGTGTGGGAGGAGAGATGCAGTGCCAGTTTCAGCTTTATTTACAAGGTTTGTTGCAAGCCCAGATTTCATTGGTAGAATTTTCAGCTGGTGCTGGCTTGATGTATGATCCTGTGTAGAAATCAGAATTTACTTCTCCAGCTTATGGTTCAGGTCTTCTGTGGACTGCAGGAAGTATTGCCAGCAGAAGGCTGCAAGACTGGCCTTTCACTTCTCCAGTTTCACTGATTGTCCATGCAATGATGGTAGTTAAAATTTATTTCATGTACGGTCAATATTACAACAATTGTAAAGAAGTACTTAGTTAAGCAAAGGCGGGATGCACTGGTGAGCTTGTCAAATCACAAAGCTAATATATGAGAACTTCTAGAATGTGACTTCCTGAGGCTAATTTGAGACTAGTATCAGCACACATTCAGTAATTATCTTTGTTGGACCCTTTCTCAGAAAGTCCTTTGGGAATCCCATACCTAATTACTTTCACAGAAAGCACCTGTTAAGTCAGATTAGCACAACGTTATCCCAATCAATTACTAATATCTTTAAAAAAACATACAGAAACCTGCTTTTTTTGGTTGAGTAGTTACCAAAATTCTTATCTCTTGGAATAGTTTCTGCTTGGATGAGGAATTTGTAAAATAGTATTATAGCATTTGTATATAAGGTGTAAGTTAATCTGTTCATGAAACCTACATAAGGTTCAGTTTTCCTGAACAAATCTGTGAAGGCAGCTCCTTGGCTCGGGCGTAGCAGCCTGTGTCCAGTTGGGGCTGGCTCTTTGTCTTTGCAAGGCAGAAGTGAAAAGGAAGCATCATCTGACTGTGCTCCTAAATGTGAAATGCACCTCCCTTCATCTAACAGAGTCTGGGGTCTGCCAAAACCTTCTAGCTCCCATTTTCTTATTTTCTACCTCTGAGAGGTTGTTTTTTGCCTCTATACCAAAATCTTGTTTCTTGAACTGTCAGGCATGAGGAACTGCTCTTTTTTGTGCTTGTTCACATCAGCTCAGTTAATTATTCTTTGCATCTCCAAGGCAGCTGAGCAGCATAATCCATTTTACAGGCATTTATTTTGCTCATTCCCACAACCTTATCCTTGTATTGCAACCCCAACTGAAAATGTCACAGGTTGCGTTACGCCAGCCTCTTCTGGGGCTACAAATAGCAAAAGATCTAGATAGCTAGATAACAAAAGATGCACCCAAACACAGGACAAGGGGTAAAAAACACTGTGTTCCTATTCAGACTTAACCTCAAAGCTTGGCTCGCCTGCTACAGAGCCTGCAAAAGGTGATGTGTCCTGGCTCTCCATCTGCCTGAGGGGAAGAGCTCTGCTTTCCCTTGTGTGATGACCTTCCCAGGGAGCAGAAGTCAGAAAATCTTCTTATATCTGAAGTGACTTTTGTTGTGTTCCTTGTGTAAGAGACTCTGGGTCTTGTTCATGATGTAAGGGACAGATAGAAATAGCTGAGAAGACCATGCAACAGAGATATTCACATCCTGTTTTTGAAGGACTGCAAGCAGTCATTATTTTGCAAACCTTGCTATGCTGCTGTTTAAGCACCATTTACTGAAAATACTGTGACAATGGCAGGGGTAAGTCGTAGCCAGTAACTATAACAACACAAATCTCCTGCACTGCAGCCGTTTGCGTAAGGGGTGTCTCGGGAGGGGAAGAAGTGACTTTGTTTACATGTAGAGTGTGTGAGAGGCAGGAGCACAAATCAGCCCTTCTCTAAACACCTCTGCAAAGCACCAGATAAACGAGCGTGCTGAACAGTGATGTGTTCAGGTAGATATGTTTTCTTTTAGAACTTTTCTCCTCAAATCTGTTCTGCCTGGTCCTGACAACTTAGTGTATGTTTTTGTGTGGTGTTTTTGGAGTCTCCTGAAGAAGCTGAGGAGAAGACTTCACCAGTTATAGTCAGCTCTGTAGCTAATGAAGTTACTGATGTTGGGAAAGATGCTGTCACCTCTGGGAGATAAGAGCTGTCATGGTATCTATCCTTGCTGTCACAGGAAGACCACAGAGGCATGCTCATGTATGCCACTGGATTTAGAGTTAATAGGGAATATGAAGTGACTTCTTTCATTTTTGAAATGAATGGTTCTGTAGGAGTGAGGGAATATATATGTACATGAAGGCTCATGAAAAAAATTCTCCTTCCCAGTAAAGTCTTCTGCCTCTCCATCTGTTTGATCTTCAGAGTTTGGTGTGTTGTTTTTGTGCTGGAAGTCACATTAGAAATTTTTTTGGCCATTTACATATCAGTACATTGGATTGTGTTTTCAGCCAGGCTGCAGTCTGCACCTAAACAGCTCTAAGAAGGAAGAGGAACTATAAGGCTGAAAATTCATATTTTCCCATGTATTTGAATCATATTCAATTTATCATTAATAATAGTTTTATTTCTGCAATCTTTGAATCCTGCTGAAATCAGTACAAAATTTCCTTTTTACTTCAGATGAAGTCTTAGGAACGTTCAGGAGTTTTCAGTAGCTGCTTGTGTGAATTCTGCAACATGGCCCTGGCTCCCTGTTAAACATGCATCACGGCTTACAGGGCAGCTCGCTCAGCTTGCACAGATCTCACATTGTTTCTTGCCTTGTTACAGTGGGTATTTGCAGTGCAGTGGGCACAGTCTGTGCTGACTGTTGAGCCGCTTCTGTTCTTTAAGAAGCAGTAATCAGCTGTCTGAATGACTCCATGTGCATGGTGTAGCCATAAGCACCTTTATTGGTAGCTGTTTTCTTCACAACAATCAGAGCTGACATCAAATGTTTACATAAGGAAGATACTAGCATCTCTCTGGTATCTGCCAGAATTAGCAATTTGCTCGTGGCAGATGGTTTCGAATTAATCTGGTTCACAGATGGGACTACAAATGCAATTCCTCAATAATGAGAATAAAAAGAAAAGGGACCTCAGTATTTATGACCATGATTCAATTTGTAACGATGGTCCAAAGGCCTTCTGAGTCAATGGAATTTCAACAGCTACCTATCTCTATGTCTTTCAAAAGAGGAATCTTAACAGAAATAAGCCCTGGATATGATTGTATAGGGGAAACTGGAGAATAAGAGGCAAGTTTTGAAGTCTTAGTTGCTAATCCTCAGATACTTGCTGATATAAGGTTGCTACACTGGATAGTATTTTCAAACTTAAAATTTTACCTCAAAAATCCCCTTTCAGATGAACTAATGAGTGAAAATCTGTTGCAATCAGTTTAAATATAATGGATCAGCAGCCAAGAAACTGTCCTCTTGTGAACCAGAAATTAAATGGTGCATTAAACCATTTTATTCTTGTCCAGATCCAGTAACTTTCTGATACAGTGTGGTTTAACTGAGTTTTCTTACT